TCCCCCATCCCTGTCCCTACCAATCACTTGGGACTCCCCGATGTGTCTAGCACCTGCTTACTGTGCTCCTGCCTCAATTCCACCTGCTGCTCCCTCTTAGAAAGTTTTTACCTGATTATCTACCTGGCTTGTTCTTTCTCTCACCAAAGGTGTGGTTTTTCTCAATTGTCACATTTTATAGGTCTTTCCGATCCCTTTATTTAAAGCTGCTCTCATTTTCATGATGCATTCCATTTCTTCCTCTGCTTATCTCTTTCTCCCTAGTATATGTGGTCTTCCAATATACTATAAAATTTATTTCTTAATTTTTTTTATTGACTGTCTCCCTCCGCTGGAATATAATCTTCATGAAGACAGGGATTTTTTTGTTTTGTTTATTGCTGTAATACAAACACCTGGAACAAGTGCCTGGCACAGAGAACATGCCATCAGTAGTTTTGAGGAGCTCTGTTTCCTCTTTTGCTCAGAGACTTAAGGAGTGAGGGAGAGGGGTATAGCCCGTTGTACCAGCCGTTCACCTGACACCATGTGATGGCAGTCCCTTGCACTGGGCTTTGAGCGTCAGCTAGACAGGGTGCCACAGAGGTGTTCCTAGGTCCCACATGCTTAACTCCTTCAGGTCTGGAGAGCCCCTCTGTGACTTTCCCGCCTCTTCTCACTCAGTCACGTCTGACTCTTTGCGACCCCATGGACTGTAGCCTACCAGTCTCCTCTGTCCATGGGGTATTCCAGGCAAGGGTACTGGCGTGGGTTGCCATTTCCTTCTCCAGAGGATCTTCCCAACACAGGGATCGAACTCGGGTCTCCCATATTGCAGGCATATGCTTTACCGTCTGAGTCACCAGGGAAGAAATCATTTGACTGCTTCCATGCATGAAGGCAAAAGAAGGAGGTGGCAGAGGATGAGATGGTTAGATAGCATCACTGACTCAGTGGACATGAATTTGAGAAAACTCTGAGAGATAATGGAGGACAGAGAAGCCTGGTTGCTGTGGTCCATGGGGTTGCAGAGTCGGACACAATCGAGTGAATGAACAACAGTAACAAAAGCATAAGAGGGCACAGCAACTCTTCAAGGCTGTCCAAGGCTCCGTCTGCCCAGGAGCTTGCTGGCACTCTCCTTACTGGCACTCTCCTTACTGGGCTCTTGCTGTCTTTCTGGGACTCGGCCCAGCTCTCAGATCCCACAACTGTAAGAATTCTGTTGCCTCCCTGGGGCTCCACTTCAGATCAGGGAATAAGGACTTTCTCTATGGAGTCCACTGACATCTTTTCAATGCTCCGCCCCCACCCCACCGCCCCATCTCTCACCTTACTTCACTTTCTCTCTTCCCCTCCCCTAGGCTGGAAATTTTTCCTTAGTATAACAAGAATGCTAATCTTGCTTCTGTTCATCTCTCGTCTGTGTTGTGAATCCTTCCCATTTTTCTAAGGGCCTGGGCTTTTGGAATCTAAAAATAGGAGGAGAGACACTATCTATCTGCATTTGGCTGCCAAACTCTCTCAGAGGATAACTTGAATGCTGTAACGGAAGAAGGGTCAGGGGCATGGGAGAGGGAAAGAGAGGGAAAAGCTTGGGTGGGGGAAACTGTGAAATACTTATAGAAGATGTGGTATATATACACAGTGGAATATTACTCAGCCATTAAAAGAATGAAATAAGGCTATTTGCAGCCACATGGATGGACCTGGAGAGTGTCATACTGAGTGAAGTAAGTCAGAGAAGGAGAAATATTACATGACATCCCTTATATGTGGAATCTAAAAAGAAATGAACTTACTTACAAAACAGAGAGAGACTCACAGACTTAGAAAATGAATTCATGGTTGCTGGGCGAGGGGGAAGGGATAGTTAAGGACTTTGGGAAGATCATGTACACACTGCTGTATTTAAAATGGATAACCAACAGACATCTATTGTATAGCACTCTGCTCAATGTTATGTGCCAGCCTCGATGGGAAGGGTGTTTGGGGGAGAACGAATACATTATATGCACGACTGAGTCCCTTCACCCTTCACCTGAAACTATCACGACATTGTTAATCGGCTGTACCCCAATACAAAAGGTTTTGGCATTAAAAATAAATAAATAAAATTTTAAAAAGGAAGAAAAAACAAAAACATCCTCATCACTTGATAGTAATGACAACAACAATAATGATGGTGGCACTAGTGGTAAAGAATCTGCCTGTCGATGCAGAAGACATAAGAGACATGAGTTCGATCCCTGTGTCAGGAAGATCCCCTGGAGAAGGATTTGGCAACCCACTGCAGTATTCTTGCCTGGAAAATTCCTTGGACAGAGGAGTCTGGTGGGCTACAGTGCAGGGGGCCACAAGGAGTCAGACACGACTGAGCACACACAACATTCACTGAGCACTGCCTGCACGTCAGGCCTCTCCCAAGTGCTCTGCATGCAGCATCTCCATTAATCACCAGTGCAACTCCATGTGGACTTATAATTATGGTAGTTTTTCATCAGAGCAGATTGCAGTCTCGTGAGGGAGAGGGATTGACTCAGGTCCCTCATTTTACAAATGACGGGTGTGGGCTTCGGACACAAGCGTAGTGTACACCAAAGGCTGTACCTCCTGGCTTCATAGAGCCTGAGGACACCAGGCCCTGTAGGTGGGGAATTCGTCCATTTTTCCACACTCCCGGCCCCTGCCCAGCAAGAGTGCTCTGTCCTTCCTCTTCCTGCCGTGCCCTGGGAAGGGCTGAATCATCCCCGTTTGCCCCCATGGTCAGCCTCTCCCTGCAAATCTGGCTTCCTACTCTGCTTCTGCTTCAGTAGGTTTCCAATCTCTCTCTCTTCTTTCTTCTCTTTGTGTCTTTTTCTCTGTGTGGCTTTACAAATAAAATATAAATTTAGCTGAGAGCTCATACCACAAAAAGGGAAGAAGTGATAAGTATAAGCAGCAAACAGAACCCAGGGGGTTAACACCCTGCTACCACACATGAAGGTTTTGTGGGGAGAGGACCGAGGATCTGTGTGTCTCTGCTCTAAGGGGTGTTCAGGTTGCCTTTCCTGCTTCCTGCAGAGATGTCCTGGGCTCCTCCCCAAAGAGCAGTGTCTTTATCAACAGGTAGAAAGCTGCAGCTTCGGGAAGGTGTCCCAGCTCCAAATTATCTCTACTGTCAGAGGAATGCTACTTTGTTTTTTGTTTTTTTTTTTTACTTATTTATTTATTTATTTTTTATCACAACCATAGTGTATCTTTTTTTTTTTTTTTTACATGTATTCCCCATCCCGGTCCCCCCTCCCACCTCCCTCTCCACCCAATCCCTCTGGGTCTTCCCAGTGCACCAGGTCCGAGCACTTGTCTCATGCACCCAACCTGGGCTGGTGATCTGTTTCACCCTAGATAATATACGTGTTTCGATGCTGTTCTCTTGAAACATCCCACCCTCGCCTTCTCCCAGAGTCCACAAGTCTGTTCTATACATAGGAGTCTCTTTTTCTGTTTTGCACATAGGGTTATCGTTACCATCTTTCTAAATTCCATATATATGTGTTAGTATACTGTAATGGTCTTTTTCTTTCTGGCTTACTTCGCTCTGTATAATGGGCTCCAGTTTCATCCATCTCATTAGAACTGATTCAAATGAATTCTTTTTAATGGCTGAGTAATATTCCCAGAGGAATGCTACTTTGGAACAACAAGCTAACTCTAAAAAAAAAAAAAATAACAAAAAAACCCAAATATCAGCCATTGACATCTTGATATAGCTGAGCTGAACCAGCTAGCCCAGATCCAGAGTCTTTTTTTTTAAGATACAAGTACCTCAATGTGCAAAGCAGCACTGTTTTTTCCCCGTTTTTGATTTTTTGGATGTAGACCATTTTTACCGTCTTTATTGAAATTGTTAGAGTATTACTTCATTTGTTTTTTTTTTTTTTTTTCAGATTTAACTCATTTATTTGTTTGTTTGGCTGCACCAGGTCTTAGTTGCAGAACCCGGGATCTTCAATCTTTGTTGTCTTCACTGTGGCATCTGTATTTTGTTTTTCTTTTTTTTTTTTTTTTTAATGGCGTCTCTAAATATCTTTTATTGTTTTTTTTTGTTTGTTTGTTTTTATTTTACATGTATTCCCCATCCCGGTCCCCCCTCCCACCTCCCTCTCCACCCAATCCCTCTGGGTCTTCCCAGTGCACCAGGCCCGAGCACTTGTCTCATGCACCCAACCTGGGCTGGTGAACTGTTTCACCCTAGATAATATACGTGTTTCAATGCTGTTCTCTTGAAACATCCCACCCTCGCCTTCTCCCAGAGTCCACAAGTCTGTTCTATACATAGGAGTCTCTTTTTCTGTTTTGCACATAGGGTTATCGTTACCATCTTTCTAAATTCCATATATATGTGTTAGTATACTGTAATGGTCTTTTTCTTTCTGGCTTACTTCGCTCTGTATAATGGGCTCCAGTTTCATCCATCTCATTAGAACTGATTCAAATGAATTCTTTTTAATGGCTGAGTAATATTCCCAGAGGAATGCTACTTTGGAACAACAAGCTAACTCTAAAAAAAAAAAAATAACAAAAAAACCCAAATATCAGCCATTGACATCTTGGTATAGCTGAGCTGAACCAGCTAGCCCAGATCCAGAGTCTTTTTTTTTAAGATACAAGTACCTCAATGTGCAAAGCAGCACTGTTTTTTCCCCGTTTTTGATTTTTTGGATGTAGACCATTTTTACCGTCTTTATTGAAATTGTTAGAGTATTACTTCATTTGTTTATGTTCTTGTTTTCTGGCCATGAGGCATGTGGGACTCTTAGCTCCCTGACCAGGAATCGAACCCGCACCCCTGCATTGGAAGGCAATGTTCTAGCCACTGGACCGCCAGGGAAGTCCCCAAGATCCAGATTCTTAGGGGACAGTCATTTTGATGGCAGTTGAGGTGGGAGAAGAGGAAACTTGGAACAGGGTGCAATCAGTTGAGTCCAGGGCTGTGAGAGGGCTCTGGGCAGCTGGGTGAAGGCTGTGTGTCTCTGCAGGTGACGACTCCATCAGCACCTTGGGCCTGATCCTCTGCGTGGGGCTGTCGCTGCTGCTCGTGTCCATCCTGGGCTACAGCCTGGCCAAGTGGTACCAGCGCGGGTACTGCTGGGAGGGTGAGTGAGCGCCGGACCTTGTTGCCCCAGATCAGCCCAGCCCCTCCTCTTCTGTGGCATTTGGCCAGGCCAGATGGGGCAGCAAACTCTTTAGAATGGTGTCATGCAAAAATATTTCCTGTGGTGGCAGCAGTGGTTGAAGACTTGGGTGGGGTGGCTGAGCCCTTGAGACGGCGGGGGTAGGGTACTGGGGCCTTTATTGAATGGGGGGCTCTTCCCACACCCAGCAAGCAGTCAGCTTCCTCCTCCCTCAGAACTCACAGGAGTCTATCTCCCAGGCCTGTGTGAGCCCCAAGGCCAAGGGCGATGGGCTAGACTGGCCAAGCTCCAGGTGTCTTATCTACCCCTGGCTCCTCATCCTCTCTTCCCCTGCCTGTGTGTCTCAGGGCCTTCTCCTAAGCTTGCTGATGCTTCAGCCCACTAGACATCTCCTGGAATTTGCTGGGGGTGCCCCCAACTCTGATTCACATCTGCACTTCCTATAGGACCCAGGAGAGCTGGGAGGGCATACTAGAGTCCTGGGGGCTTACCAGGTGGTGCTGGTGGTAAAGAACCTGCCTGCCAATGCAGGAGACATAAGAAACATGGGTTCCATCCCTGGGTCAGGAAGATCCCTGGAGGAGGACACAGTGACCATTTCCAGTATTCTGGCCTGGAGAATCCTGTAGACAGAGGAGCCTGGTGGGCTACAGTCCATAGGGTCGCAAAGAGGCGGACACAGTTGAAGTGACTTAGCATGCACTAGAGTCCCAAGAAGCAGAGAACATTTCCTGAATCTCCGGTTAAATTCAACAGCTTCCACGGATGTTTGTTGAGCACTTACTATGTGCCAATATACTTGTGCCTAATATGATTTAAAAAAAAAATTCTATGTGAAGATGAAATTCTTAGTCTCTGTGTTTTTTTTTTTAACAGAAGATATGAGGCTAGAGCCACAGAGTTGGAAAGTGGTGGAGTCTGGATTCCAGCCTCCTTCCCAGAGTCATTAGTGCCCTTGATGGAGAGATCCCCAGTGGTAGGATCTATCCTCAAAGAGCTGGTGTTTCTGTCTAGAAAGAAGGGAATGTACCCATGAGTTTGGAGCAGGAAGACGACACTGAAGGAGCCTGGGAACCTTCCATGACATCCTGAGGCCCAGCCTAGCCATCCCACACCTCCCAGACAGGTGTGAGGGAGGAACACATGCTCCCAGGAGAGTGGTGGGTCACTCTCCCTGGAGGTACCAATCCTTTCTTTTCCGATTGTCTTTCTAGGACCTAATTTTGTCTTCAACTTGTACCAAATCCGGTGAGTAGATTCAGGACAGATCGGGGTGGGATGGGGGTGGGAAGCTATGTAGGCTTGAGAAAGAATCAAAGATGGAGCTGCTCAAACTTATTACTTCCCTTCCCTGTCTCCTCCCCATGTCTCTGAGCAAGCAAGAGAAAATGATGGAGCAGGGTTCATGTAGAAATTTCCATGACAGAAAACTTGAACACAGACAGGACATGGAAGATCCTAATGACAATGATCTACTTAGCATTCACCCCTGGGCGGGCATCATCCATTCATTTATTCACTCACCCACCATTTATTCAGTAAAGATTCTATTGCAGTAGGTATTGTGGCATTAGTTTCTAAGGGTACAAAGATAACTGGGCATAGTATCTGTCTTTAAGCTGCCCGTGGTGGACACCTGCCTGGTTACAGATATAATCTCAGACATAACATGCTGTCCAAAGAGAGGAGCAAATGAAGACAATCGGGGATTAAGGGAGTGTCCTGAGTTATTGCAAGAAGATTCAGAAAGTCTTCCTGTGATAAGTCATCTCATCTGGTCTCTGCCACACAGCAGGCCCACTTCTCATCTGGCCCGAGGGTTGGGTAATTCTCATTCTGGAAAATAAGTCAGCGAGTCAGTGAGTCACTGCCGGAAGTTCTTCCCATGCCCTGGTCCCAGAGAGAGGTCAGGTTCTCAGCCCCAGTAACTTGTTGGATGGTCTTTCTTAGGAACCTGAAGGATCTGGAGATGGGTCCTCCCTTCACCATCAGTGGCCACATTAGCAGTTCAGATGGAGGCTACATGAAGTTCTCAGACAGGCTGGTCTGATGAGGGGAGTGTCAACTTTCTGGAGCCCCCAGAGAGGTGAGTGGAACATTGGTGAGTTCTTGATGTCCCAGTGAGTCTGATGTCCTAGTGTGTTCCTCCGGTGGTCCAGGCACCCAAGCCTAGCACCAAAGATGGCTTGGAACCCACAGATGATTTGGTTCATCCTCGGGAGTGAGTGCTGTAGGAGATGATCTTGGGAGCAAAGACCCGGGATCATGCTGTCCCTGCCTCTTGCTCCTTTTACTCTTGTTCACCTGATCCATGCTTTTCTTTCCTTTTTAATCAGATAGAAGTTGTTAGAATGGAGCTTTCTATCTCAACCCTTTGCTCTGAGATGAAGGCTTCAGATGGCCACCCTCTCCAAGAAGCATCACTGTAGAACTTCTGAACTTGCTGAACTTTCTAAGCCTAGGAGCTGTCCCTGCTTCCTGGCTGGTGGACTGCATGATCACACCTTTCCTCGCCCTGCCTTCAAGCCCATCCCTCTTCGTATCACAGTTGCTTTCTCCCATCTAAACATTTTCTCCTTCCAGCAGTCCCTCATGGTCCCTCAGTTTGGTTTCTCTCTCATCTTCACATAGAACCCCACACTCAGCTTCTCTATATGTTTCTCCCTCTGCCCAGATGTGATGGTTCAGAGCAGCAGTCCCCAATCTATTTGACATCAGGGACCAGTTTAGTGGAAGATGATTTTTCCACAGATGGACATGGGGGACGGTTTCGAGATGATTCAAGCATATTACATTTATTGTGCAATTTATCTCTATTATTAGTACATCAGTTCCAACTTAGATCATCAGGCTTTAAATCCTGGAAGTTAGGGAGCCCTGGTTTAGAGGAATCCTTTCCAAGACTCATTTCTTTGTCATGTTCCCTTATCTTTTTCTGCAGGAGGAGGTTCCTGGCTCAGAATCCGCCCCTCTTGGGCTCCCCTGCCTTCAACCCCTGGATCTTCAAGGCCCGGCCTGGCCCCTCTTGTGAACACTGAGGAGTCTTCTCTTGGGACACCCCAGCCTGCAGCATGAGAGTCGCCGGGAGAGTCAGATTTCTGGGAACAGAGTCTGTGAAGTCACAGCGGCTTTCTCCAAGAAACCAAGAGATGGCCATTTCCTGAGGAGGAGGGGCTGGTTCCTGAGGGGCCCCGAGTCTGTGCCCACAGGTTCCAGGTGCCCTGGAGAGCATAGCCCTCCCAGCTGGGCGGCGTGGGTGGGGCTTGGAGATCCAGAGGGGAGCTCTCCCCTGGTCATCCCCGGTCACTTCCCCTGGGGGACTGACACCAGGGTCAGAAAACCTGTCATATCCTCCACAGGCAAAGTCGTGTGGGAGGAAGGGTCAGTCCAGATGCTTTTAAGCCTTCCTACCAGAAGCCAACTTCCCCTGAGAGCTATATACTGAGCTTAGGCCTTGACTCTGCCCTGCCCCCTCTGCCCTTTGTTCTGGCACTTTCCGCAAGTCCCCCCACCTCACTCCACAATCCCTCATGCCCTCCCACTCATCTGTCCACCACCTGTGTCTGTTTCCCTTGCTATTGACCAGCCTCTGTGCCTCCCAGACAATTTTGAGGGCAGTGCTGAGAACAGTCTAGAAACACATCCTTATTTTTAGGTTCCTGTGATGGGGAGGGCCTGGTGTAGATAGCTGTCTCTCCCATGTACTCCATTTCCTGTGCAAGGTCTGCCTGGTAATGTGGAAAGTGGACCAGAAATGGTGAGAATGGGGGAAGAGGAACCTGGATTAGCCTGAAATAAACCAGATAATGCACATGGGAAATCAACAACCAAGTATAGCTTAGTGGACAGGAGAACAGTTTGTTCATGAGTCATTACTCCTTCCTCCAGTCTATATCCTACTGGACCTGAGGTGGGGCCCAAACTAGGATGTCAGCTTGCATGCTAAGCTGCTTCAGTTGTGTCTGACTCTGTGCGATCCATGGACTGTAGCCTGCCAGGATCCTGTCCATGGGATTCTCCAGGCAAGAATACTGGAGTGGGTTGCTGTTTCCTTCTCCAGGGGATCTTCCCAGCCCAGGGATCGAACCTGCACCTCCTGCATTGGCAGATGGGTTCTTTACCACTAGCACCACCTGGGAAGCCCCGGGATGTCAATTTAGTAGGTACTTTATGCAGCGTTGTTCAGTCCAGAGGGACTGAATTCCTGGGGCAGCTGTGGATGGAGCAGGGTCTAATGGGGGCCCTGCCACTGCTGAAAACAGCAGTTAGAGCTACCAGCCACTGGTCTCCCTGACGATGTCCCAGAACAAGGCTAACAATATACAGAGGCCCAGGACCGTGATAGGTGAGGAGAACAGTCACATTTGTCCTCCTGTCCTCTCTTTTCTGAAGCCTGGTTTCTTTCTTGCTTTGGATTCTAACAGATTGACTTGCCAGGGCCTGGGGGCCATTCTCCCGACAGAGCCAGACTGTGACTTAATAAGCCAAGTCTCTGCCTTTGGAGGTCTTCGGCCGGGCCGCAACTCCTCTATTCCTGGTTAGGTGGAGGTGGGGAGGGGCCCCCTAGACTCTGGATCCCTCCCTTCCTCGAAGGCCCATTGGGAGAGGTGGGGGAGGGGCTACGGGCTGACATGGTGTCCTTCCTCCTTGCACTTCAGTTCAGAGGGCTGAGCCGCATTGCTTAACTCAAGGGGGTGTCCAGTCTCAACAAACGCTCAGCCGTGCCCTGCTCAGTGTGGATCCTGGGTCTGCAGCCCCAGCAGGGCCTCCCTAGCCCCTGAAAGTGCCCAGAACTCAGCGACCTGGGGAAACCTCAAAGGCTAGGGTCCAGGGCTCAAGTGGTCTTGGCCCCAGGTTTGATGGCTTCAGGTAGGGAGACAGCGACAGCTGCCAAAGGCTGGGAGAATGGAGGGTATTTCCTATCCTGGGGAGCGGAACTGAGACTGGGCCACTTCCTCTTTTTGGGCCATCTGACGTGTTCCCTGTCCTCTCTGCCTCCCCCTCGTTTTCCTGACTTCCGTCGTCTGACTGGCTAGTGCAGCTTTCTTTACCCTGGACTCTACATGTTTCTATTGGGGGCAGATTCTGGCCCATTCAGAAATGGCGAGGGAGCTGATGTCTAGAAATGTGGCTCCAAGTCTGGTTATTTGCTGGGCACCCGACCCATGGCGATGCCAGCACTGCCCCCGCCACCCAGGCTCTCCCCTTCCTCGTAACTATTCTTCACCTCCCTGGCCCCAGGAGCCAGGAGGCAGTCATGGAGAACCTGCAGTTCCGTGGACTGGCCGTTCCCAGGCCACTGACCGCCACCCTGTTCCTCTTTGGAGTCTTTGCCAAGGCTGTTCTCCTGCCTAGAATGCCTTCTCCCCCAGACCCCCACCCCTGGCCACATCCAGTCTCCATGGTTGGCTCAAGTCTCATCTTTCCTATAGCTTCCCTTGGACTCTAGACTTGATGCCACCCAAGCAGGCAAGGTTATGTCCCACAGGTTTTAAGTAACTGTTAAAAGTAGAGTCAATAGGAGGTGCTTATAAATGCCAGCTGAGTGGAAGGAAACACCCACTGTGGCCACAGAAGCCTGTCTGGTGCTAGAGAAAGATGCCCAGGCGACATGAGGAAGAGAAGAAACTGCTTATACAGTGCAGAGTCTGCAGAGTACAGTGCACTTCCACACAGGCTACTGTGTCTTGAACCTGGTGGCAACCTTGTGACATGGAGATGATTATTGGTCCCATTTTACAAACAGAGATTGATGCTCAGAGAGTTGGTATTCTTTGCCTAAGGCTGCACAGCCAACAACTGACAGAGTCGAGGCATCACGGATACAGCCCGACCTCAGGGCTTGGGGGGAGGAACGCTGTAGAACAGGGTCTGGTGTAGAACCTGTCCTGCCATGCTGTGTGGTCATGGGCTGTCACTTCACCATCCTGGGATTAAATTTCAGCATCTGGCATTTGAGGGACTACTTCTTCAAGACTCCTCTCTTTTACTTGAAGCAGGAAAAGAGTCCTATCTTTCTTCTTCTTTTTTTTCCCAAATCTCAGGGCTCTCTGAGAACTGAGCCGTAAAGTAGGCAGGATGCCGAAGAATTGATGCCTTTAAACTGTGGTGCTGAAGGAGACTCTTGAGAGTTCCTTGGACAGCAAGGAGATCACACCAGTCAATCTTAAAGGAAACCCTGAATATTCATTGGAAGGACTGATGCTGAAGGTGAAGCTTGGCCACCTGATGCGAACAGCGACTCATTGGAAAAGACCCTGAGGCTGGGAAAGACTGAGGGCAGGAGGAGAAGGGGGCAACAGAGGATGAGAGGGCTGGATGGCATCATTGATGCAATGGACATGAACTTGGGCAAGCTCTGGGAGATGGTGAGGGACAGGAAAGCCTGGCGTGCTGCAGTCCATGGGGTCATGAAGAGTCAGACGTGACTGGGTGACTGAATGACGACTCTGTGTTTAGTGCCACAGGAGCTGGTACTTAGCAGGCACACCATAATCTGAGCAGCTGCCTGTAGCAGAAAAGAGAAGAGAAAACTCCCTGGGGCTCTCCATTGTCTTCTCTGGGAGTGACAGCGCTGCTTTCCCAGTTTAATCCCAGCTCCTCTGTGATTGGCTGAGGGCTGCAGTGAGCATTGCTTATCTTTTGGAGCCTTCTGCCAGGAAGAGCCAATTGCGTGTGGCCCTGGTGCCTGGCCACTCCCATCCAAGCTGGATTCTCCAGAGGTGAGCTTTTGCACTCTCCTTCGTGGGTTCTGACTTCCTGTATCTGGCGAGGCTGGGCAGTACTGTATCTCATGACCACTGACCGAAAATGCCCTGCAGGGTCATTTCACACGCAGCTTCTCACCAGCAAGAGCTTACTCAGGTGTTCAGGCATCCGGATCCATTGTGAACTTTGAAAAAGGAAAAAGATGGACAATCATCGGCATTACCATAAACTGTGCTTCCAACTAAATGAATGTGTCCTTTTATAGCATGTGCGGAGTCAAGGAAAATGATATTCCTTCTTCTCTGGTGGCTCAATGGTAGAAGAACCCACCTGCAACCCAGGAGATGTGAGTCAGGAAGATCCCCTGGAGTAGGAAATGGCAACCCACTCCAGTATTCTTGCCTGGAGAATCTCAAGGACAGAGGAGCCTGGCGAGCTACAGTCCATGGGATCATAAAGAGTTGAATACGACTTAACAACTAAACCATCACAGTTTAGTGCATTTCACATACAAAGAGGCATGTACAAAGTGTAGTGATGACTCTCTAACTCAGGAGATGGTAGGTGAAAGGTGATGGCTGCAGTTCCCTTTGACCCTGGTAGTTTAGGATCCTAAATATTACTCCGTCTTTCCTTTGACCCTGGCTAAGACCGAAGAGCGCTGAAGACTGGACCATTTCCAACCTATCCCTTCTTGAGCAGGAAGGTGAAACACTAACATGTGCCTCGAATCACTGAAGACAGGGACTTCACTGTCTCATTTCATCCTCCCCGTCTCTCAGGTGAGGGAACAGAGGCTCAGGGTCTGGTGAGATGATTTGCTTAAGACCAGGCAAGACTGTATTTTTTCTGTGACTCTTCCTCACTTTTAGCCTCTGCCCAAGCTAGCAGCTCTCTGAGATCCCTGACCCCCAAGGAAGCAGGCCCCACCTTCTGGTCTCTCATCTCTTTTCCAGCCCCCTGGTGTGCTGAGAAGGGCTTCTCAGAACCTGGGGCTCTCCAGACCCTGTCCTCAGCTCTGAGCTTCTCATCAGCCCATTCCTCAATCTTTCTTTCATTTTTTATACCCCCTCTCACCTCCAAATCATCAAATTCTGCTCACTTTTTTTTTTAACTTTAAAGCAAGATTTTTTAAAAATATAATTTTATTTATTTATTCTTGGCTCTTTGTTGCTGTGTGGGCGTTTCTCTAGTTTCAGGGAGAGGAGGCTACTCCATAGTTGTGGTGTGTGGGCTTCTCTGTGGTGGCTGCTCTTGTGGAGCACAAGCTCTGGGGCGTGCGGGCTACAGTAATTGCAGCTCATGAATTCTAGAGCACAGGCTTAAAAGTTGTGGCTCACGGGCTTAGCTCCTCCATGCCATGTGGGATCTTCCTGGACCAGGAATGGAACCCACGTCTCCTGCATTGGCAGGCGGAATCTTTACCACTGAGCCACCAGGGAAGCCTAATTCTGCCCATTCTTTATGTCAGCTCAATTTTCACTTCTCCAGAGAAACTCCTTCAAGACCTATGGATCTCCTTGTCTTTTAGTTCTTAATTCCAGATCCTCTCCTGTAACCTAATTATTGATCATTCCCTTGTATTCATTTATTCTTGCAACTTCTATAACAGGTCAAGAACTGTGCTAGGCACCATGAGGGAATACATTCCCTCTTGAGATTAACCTCACTCTCCCTATTTGATGGGTATTTCTTGCCAGCAAAATTCAGATCTTATACCTTTTCTGAGTTCTTTGTGGTGTCTTGTACAGCTCTGGCCATAGCCAGTGACTCCTCAGGAAATTATGTTGAAGGAATCTCCAGTCTCCTCAGGGAATCTTGGTTGTTGCTTCATCGCTGGTCCAATCCTGGGTGCTCTGAAAAACCAGAACTTTTGCTTTTGTCTTCCCAACCTCAACCCTTTGATCATCCACCGACACAGATCTGGAGAAAGTGTAGATCTTCTATTTGAGTTTTTCTATTTGAGGGTTAAACTAAGGGATGGCCAAACCCATGAAGAAACTGGGCAGGTGAGGAGGGGGCTCTGAACTCCTGTAGCTTCCTTTTCAGTTATAAAGACTTGCTCCATGCCAGTGTCTCTGGTGCCCCTCTCTCTGGCCCAGGGTTCTGAGAACCTCGAAGTAGGAGCAGATGGGTCTCTCATTACTGTATTTTTAAAAGTGCTTAGTGATCAAAAAACCATCTAGAAGCAGTGATATTCAAGCAGTTCTAGTACAAAACAGGAAGCCAGTGGCCTGGTGAATTCTCACACTTAGGGACCAGAAGTGAAAATATTCTGCCTGCCCAGGGCAACAGCAGGTCAACAAAATAACAGGTGTGGTGGCCTTGGAGGCCCTGCCAGACTCCCTGCCTCCTAGGTTGTCCCTGCAGAGCCTTGGGGGCTGCCTCCCCTTCTCCAAAGCCTAGGAAGAGGTTTCTCATACACAGGCAGGGGGCCATGGGGAGGGAGAGGAGTGGAAAATGTAAGAAGCCTCATCTTCGGGTCTGGCCCCAGTAGCTGGTAGGCCCCAGGTGCCTTGTTCGTAATAAGGTTGATGTTGGACTTGAGGATTCTGAGTTCCACTCCAGCTGCAAGGCTGTTTCAGAGTGTGGGTGACTTTAGTTCCATGGGCCTGGAGGAGGAGGGCAGGGGAGGAGGTAGGCAGAGACATCTGAATGATTTATATATGTGTGCTTGCGTGTGTGTGCTGCAGAGGTGGAGCCAAGGAAGAGAGGGATCCTGTCTTGTTGCCTGCTGCATTCCCAGAAAGCCTGCCCATGACTAGTGCTCAATGAATGTTTGCTGAAGGGGTGAATGGCTGCCTGCTCAATGTTTTCACAGTCCCCTACCTTGCTTCCTGACCACATCCCCTTGCTCTAGGCTTCCTGTTTAGTCTGTAGGCCTGAGTACCTTCAATACCTAAGAGCTATAGGGTGAAAATAGCAGGGAAGGGAATAATCATGGTATAATGTGACTAAAACAAGAAGATGATAAGCCTGAAAATAAAATCAAATTTATGTACTGCCTGCTTTCTTTTTGGTGCTGTCTAACGTCTGCCAAGTATCCATTCGGCCCCAGGCTACTGTTACCACCATTACTATCTCATGTTTGGATATAATATTTGTTTGACATCTTTCACATGTGTTTCTCTGTGAAGAAATCATTTGTTCAGGTGTTCAGTTATTCATCAAAAATGTGTTGAGCACCTAGGCTATATATTAGCCACTGGTTTAGCATGAAGGATACAGAGATAAACCAAGAGGAGTCTCTGTCTCCAAGAGCTCATGCTGAAATGAGTACTGAATGTTGTTTGTACAATGAGAGCAGTGTGCCCAGTGCATACATGAGAGGAGTCAGATTGAAGAATATTCTCTCCATTTGGCAGATGAGAAGACTGGGGCCCAGAGTTAACAAGATAAGATTAAGCTAGGGCTTCCCTGGTGGCTTAGACAGTAAAGAGTCTGCCTGCAGTGCAGAGACCCAGCTTCGATTCCTGGGTCAGGAAGATCCCCTGGAGAAGGAAACAGCAACCCACTCCAGTATTCTTGCCTGGAAAATCCCATGGATGGAGAAGCCTGGAAGGCTGCAGTCCATGGGGTCGCAAAGAGTTGAATGTGAAAGAATGACTTCACTTTCAGGTTCAGGTGAGGGTAGAACCCAGGTCTCCTGAGTCCGTTCCATTCCTAAGCACTCTTTACACTCCCTGGGTTATTGTCTCTTCCCTTTTACCCTTGGGGCATCTCTAGACCAACCACCTTGCC